AAAAAAAGATACAGACGCACCAAGTCTTCCTCCTCCCTCCAGAGCGCTAAGGAGGAAGATTGGTCCATAGGGTTGGACCCAGAGGTCCGGGCAGCGAGATGAGTGGTGCGGGGAGTAGCTATGACTCCCTAGAGTGAGTGACTAACAGCGTTAAGTGAGAAGCCAACAGGAAAAAAAGATACTGACACACCAAGTCTTCCTCCTCCCTCCAGAGCGCTAAGGAGGAAGATTAGTCCATAGGGTTGGACCCAGAGGTCCGGGCAGCGAGATGAGTGGTGCGGGGAGTAGCTATGACTCTCTAGAGTGAGTGACTAACAGCGTTAAGTGAGAAGCCAACAGGAAAAAAAGATACTGGCACACCTTGCCCTCCTCCTCCCTCCAGAGCGCTAAGGAGGAAGATTGGTCCATAGGGTTGGACCCAGAGGTCCGGGCAGCGAGATGAGTGGTGCGGGGAGTAGCTATGACTCCCTAGAGTGAGTGACTAACAGCGTTAAGTGAGAAGCCAACAGGAAAAAAAGATACTGACACACCTTGCCCTCCTCCTCCCTCCAGAGCGCCAAGAAAGAAGATTGGCGCATAGCGCAAGAACAAAAGATGCGGGCGGTGAGATTTTTTTTGCGGGGTCATTGCTGGCAGTGTCTCAACCAGTCCAGAACATGTGGAGGTGCCCAGGGGTCGTGGTGAAAGGAGAGCAGGCCAGAAACAAGTCGAGAGCGTGTGGGAACAGCAACTTTTGGCACATAGTAATACACAACACATACTCAAACATTTGAACCCAGACTTTGGCGTGGGGAGGGCAGAATTTCAAGGGCTACAAGATGAGATACATAGTCCTATATAAATTGTGGAAGGAAGGGGACGAAAAAAATCGATTTTGTGACCGCGGCGCTTAGCACCTAAGCGCCGTCCGCATATAGATAGGAGAAGAAACATGGGAATGATAAAATCACCGTCGGCCATCCACTTCCACTGCTTCGCAGACCAGAAAAGTGGAGAAGGTTGATGCCCCTCATGCCAGCGATGTGGTAACTCTGCCCCCTCCTCATGCCATGTGTCAAAAAATTCGCTGGGCTTCTTCAATTCTGCGTAGGCCTGCGGCTTGATGATTGTGTCAAACGTCTTTTGAAACCCTTCGGGAAGGCCTTTGATCCACTCGTTCGTGTTCTCAGGGGGCGTCAGCAAATATAGGCCCCGTTTGTCTACCACCCAGCCCCGTTCTGCATTTGCCGTGAGCGATGTAAGAATCTGAGGACATGCGATAGACTTACGAAAAAAATCTTTGTTTTCGTCGCTGAGGGGATCCGCATCCAAGAATTCTCGTCCTTCGTTCCTGGCGAATGCATAATCCTTGTTCAACCAGTCGCGGAGGTTCCGAACCTTCCATTCATCGAGAACTGCGACACGCTCCGCTCCGGGCTGTACGTCGTGGCGCATTGCCACCAAGTGATCCACCGCAAGCAGCCTGGCTTGCATGTGGGTGACGAGTACCGTCCCACAGTTCTTTCTGCAAATGATCGCCATGTCTTTCTCCTTCTGCGTGCCCCTTTGAGTCTCCCGGTTCCAAAGTGCCCAAACTTTGGCATACAACACAATGTGGTAGCATAAATCTAGCCAAAGGCCTCTGTACGGCAAGGGGAGCGGGACAAACCCTATCGGTTTCCCGCCCTTGAATACCGGCACCCTGCAAGTGGCGTACGCATGCTGGTGGTCTGGATAGAGGACCTGTGCCTCCTCCGGTGCGCCGTAGGTGATATAGGACCTAGGGTTAGTTGAATAGTCGTCCAAGATCATTTCGGCACGGTTAGTAGGGATTACAAATGACCCGATGGGTTGTGCGAGGGGTCTCGGTGGCAGGGGTACCATCTTTGATTTGTGAGTCATGACAACCCTAGCCTGCTTCTTGATGGTGGAAGTACCCATGGACGTCGCGGTTGTGCCCTTGTGGGGAGGTTTCTTATGGATGCGTGCAGCTTTCTCTTTCTTTTTAGTGCGTGCCATGCCTGTTTGACCAAAAGACCAGATGGGTCAAGGGCACAACTGTTTGATTGTGATCAATCATATTGTGTTTGGCTTTGTTTGGTTGTCATCAATATCAAATTTTGCTTAGTGTTGCTTACATTCGTGCAAACAGGCATTGATATCATACTCGGCACAAACGCTCCAGTGTCTAATAAATTCGGGACCCTCGGTAGTATTTCCATAGGTAGTGGCAAGAATCTCTAAAAAGACATTACGAATTTTGGATTTATATATCACACGTCATCTGTGGATGAGGTACGGTATTGCACAAAATCCGAAGTAGTACGGCTCTGTATATTGTCATTTGTTGCATGTAGGATGCTCTGTCCAAGGGAAACAAATCGAATACACGGGTGTTTCGACTGAGTGTCTGCGCTGTGTCGATTCAACGCGTACATGTCCCATAGTAATGCCAAGGGCTATCCGCGTCACTTGTTAGCCACTGGAGAAACAATTAAAGATCAAACTCAGAGCAGCCCACCCCACAGGTATGGCAAGGCAAAATCATCTGTTCAATACGGGTCCTTGCTATGACCTCTTATGGACAGGTATATATGAGCCAGATTCGCGCTATCGCATGCTTCCTATGCTGGTAATTCACTACGTCCATCGCACACATATATCATTCATCGACCTTCATGGCAAAGAGATCATCCGAGTCGTCGGCGTCCACCATGTCTGAGTCTTGGATCATTTCAGAGGTGCCTCCACTGCGATTCTTCCTCCCCTTCCGTTTGCTACCCTTACTGTTGGCTTTCGTCGCAGAAGCTTGAGATTCGCCGTTCGTCCTTTTAGTGAAGTCCACGAAAAAGTTTTGCAGGTCTATAGAAGGCGGAAAATGATGCCAGAAAACTTGCGGCGCCGTTTTCCGGTTTACCCTCTTGAAATGCTTGTTGTCTTCGTCCGTCTTCACCCATGCGGATTTCCAACCACATTTCAAGCACTGCAGGCGCACCTGGCCAATGCAGTTAAAATATGCAACCCCCTTCAAGCATGGAATACTCACCTTTGAATTATTAGGTCTCAATTTGAGACGATTAAAGACACGCATGTCTGATGGCAACGGATTACACCCCGGTGTCCCGCAAGAGTTGAAATCTCCGCCGAAGGCACGCAGACCGGGGAGGTTCTTCGCGATCTGACGACATTCGACTTGTCGTATTCCATTGACGACCTCAGCGTACACCAGCACAACAGTTGTGTGATCCAAGACACTCTGAGCCGAGGAGATCGTGTCACAAAACGATGACCAGACGTTTGTGCAGCCGAACACACCAGCATCGACGACGAATGACCGTACGATGGATGCTACTAAGGGCGGTAAAGTCCCTGATCCACCAAACCCAACCACGAAATCCAACCGGTCTCTGCAGAATGGTGAGCATGCGGTTGATATGCGAAATGATGACACATACTTTTGAACCATCTCTACGACAGAATCAAAGTGGTGGTGAACCCTGACAGCAGGGCCACAGCTCACAAGCATGAGGCCTCTCCATCCTCCTCTGACCTTGGGGGTGAGATCGCTCCAGGGCATCTTCCCTCTCTTGGTGGTTATCGTGGTCTTGTCGCTCCTGGCAGCATGCGAGGCATTTGTCATGCCTTTCATGAAATCCTTGCCAGTGTACGCGGCAACGATTTCCGTGATCGTTGTGCTGCTGCCGCCGCCATGCCCGCCAGTGTGCTGGAGCATTCCGCTGTACTCGTCGGAATGAGTGTCGATGACGATGAAGGTGTTAGGTGGAAACCCGGCTTTGATGTTACGTTTAAAAAACTTTACACCTTCATCGAGTTTCCTTGACTCAGACACATGGGCACCCCCTCGCATGTGCAAGCTTTTGATGAAATGCTGCCAATATGTTATGATCAGCGCAGTGGTGAAGACAAGCCGGTTCTACGTACATTTTTGGGATTATCCTTGTAGTGATTCTCAATCTCACACGCGACTGTCAAAGCTAGGTATTCGTCCTTCATGGACTCCAGACTAAGGTTCACAAGGGCTATAGGCCAGGTCATCTTCACCTTCTGCCTCAATGAATGTGCAAACAAGGTGTATGGCAAAGGAGCGTTCTTGTTGACTCCTGTCCTACAACAAATCGGGCAGAGGAACTCCCTCCCGGCCTCCACTGTGTTGAAATAGATGCACCCAGTGGTATAAGTAGCGGACTGCTGACAGATGATTGCACCACACTCGACGCATTCATGGGAGAATGGGGCTTGAATTTGGTCCCAGCAAAAGTGACAGTACTTGCCGACGTGTATGGCGTCGGATGAGGCGGTGTTGGATGGGTGGGAGATGTGTGTGTTGGACGCATCGGTGGATCTGGCCTTAGTACCGACGAGGCTGGGCGACACAACAGTGGGGGAGGCACTGGCCTCGGATTGTTTCACCCCACGCTCATCATTTTCGATGACGCCAGCCAACACGGCCTTATGACCGGAACGGGCCTGCGCGAGTCTGACTACCTGCCCATCGTCACCGAGGAGACTGGACACGTCGAAAGACCTGGCAGCACTACCATGCTGAGGTACCATGGTGCCAATGTCGACCGTTCCTGGCCCTGCACGAGATAAACCTGTCACGTTGCCACCTACTGTAGATTTTCTGTTCCTATTGTTAGCAGACATGTTGTGAAAAAAATGGAAGAACGGAGGAAAAGAAGGGTGTTGCTGGCTGCGGTCAACTATTTACCCGACATTATGTGGCCTGCACCATGATCGGGTAATTCCGATCACACGTGTTCGGTCCGATCGCGTTGTTCATCACAGTGGATGCCACCACCTGCCATCAGCAAATTCGCAATCGCTACAATAATGTTACAGGCAGTTACTTTCGCGAGACACATTGCTCTTCGATGATAAGTCGATGACACACAGGAATAAATCTGGTACGAACTTCTTCGAAAACATTGCATCCGATCACACACGGTCGGTCCGATCCCATTGTTCATATCACAATGGATAAGCCACCCACCCGCGCACATTGATACTAATCGGACTGAACCTCATACAATTATATTGTTAGTTCATAGATCCATTCGGCTTGACGCGCCATCCACTTGTGCTCCAAGCCATCCAATCGAGAATATCCATATTTGGCCAACGGGGCATGGGAATCATTGGCTATATTCGGACTTTAAACACCTTGTTCAAACTTCACACAAACGGCGGTTTGTTTCTTTGTTTATCTGCTTATGTCTTTGTTTGCCTTTGTTTTGTCACGGTTCATTTTGTATTAAAATTGCTTTGTTCGTCTTCTTGTTTCTGCATCCACCATCCACGTCACAGGGCCACAAGTACTTTCCTCCCAACCGCCTAGCATACGCCTGCCTGTAATGGCAGGCGCTTCTGGAGTATTCTGGAATTATGTTAGGTGGGGTGGCACACCCTCTGCCCTTTACAGGGCAGGGCATTCTTGGGCTGTACTGCCTGGGAGGGGTCGCTGCTGGGGTTTTAGTTTCATGTGTGTCGCACGGCCGGCCCACCCTGGCAATCAAGCCAGTTCTTGTCCTTCCGCTCCGTTCTCTATTTGCAGTCTGCAGTCCCAACCGTCTAACATACGCCTGCCTGTCATGGCAGGTGCATCTGGTGTACTCTGGAGTTATGTTGAACGGGGCGGCGCCCCCTCTGCCCTGTAAAGGGCAGGGTATTCCTGGGCTGTACTGCCTTGGAGGGGTTGCTGCTGGGGTTTCAGTCTGATGTTTGTCGCGCTGCCCAGGGAGCGTCTGCTGCTGGGGCTGCCTTGTTGAGGATTTCATTTTCGTTTTACACTTGTCGGTGTTCAATTATGCTGCATTGTTTCCCTTTGTTTTGCAATCTCTGTCTACGTCACACGACACTATCTACCTTTGACACTGCAAGGCATGTCTTGTTGTTACCACCACCTTATCAGCAAATTTGCGACACCTGAGGCCAAATTGTACAAGTCCTGACTTGTGATCAGACCACTACTGCCGCTGTCGCCTCGAGACTAATTACAAGTATGAAAAATAATGCGCAGCGCGCGATAATTTTGGCCTTTTAAAAGAGTTTGCTTTGGTCGGATCACTTGTAGAATCTGATCTATCTGCTACATGGAGGGAATGCGATAAAATCACCACGTAGACGGCAGTGTTTGACAAAGGGACTGAGTTGGCGCAGTGGAAATCATAAGTGCCTTACTGCTGGCTTCTTGCCGTTGCAATTGCTAACCCTAACCTGCTCGTGCGTCGGTCCAGACAACTGTGTTTAATCTATTGCCTTAGGGGGAGGACATCGATTTAGACAATCCACCCTAGAAGCTGTCCTGTAGGGTAGTAGAATGTCTGAGTTTCACCTGTCACTAGCTCCTAATGGAGTCAACAGTTCTATGCTAGCAGGCTTGATAGTATCACACAATTGAGACTATGGAGCCTCGTCGTTCTTGTCGCTCTGGCATTAAATGGTAGCTACCTTAAAGTGTTGTCTCCTAACTGCGTTTGCAGAGATTTTCTGTGTCGGTGGAGTTCTCCATGATGCTTTGTACTACATGTTAAATCTTAATTGAAACAGTTGACCATCTCCTGCCTTTTCCTTGTGCAACGAACTGACATGCGAGAGGCAAGAAACTCCAGTAATCATGTTTTACATGCTATCAATAAAGGCCATTCACTACTTGTAACGCACGCATATATCAGTCTTAGTCGATGTCCATTATGTCAACACCAGAGCCCTCCGCGTCCACCATGAGCGTGTCTATCTCAGAGGTGGCGCCGGCTCGCTGGTATTGCTTTTTGCCCTGGCTTGTGCTTTCCTTCGCCGACACTTGCTCCATCTTGAGGGTGAGATCTACGAAAAAGTTTTGTAGGGCTGCGGAAGGTGGGAATCGATGCCAGAAGATTTGAGGCGCCGAGATTGGGTTTACCCTCTTGAAATGCTCGTTGTCTTGATCGGTGACCGCCCACGTGGATTTCCAATTACACTTCAAGCACTGCACCCTGACCTGGTCATCATGATTAAAATATTCAGCTGCACTGCGAGCGAGGAACCGCACCTTAGGTTTAAGGTCCTTGCATGTACCTATCACCTGATTAAAGACGCGAATGTCTGACGGTGCCGGATTACATCCTGGTGTACCACAGGACTTGTATTCGGCCCCAAAGGCACGCAGTCCAGGGACGTTCTTCGCGAGCTGACGACATTCGACTTGCCGTTGTCCTTCAACTCCAACCTGGGCGTACACCAGCACAGCAGTGGTGTTGTCCAGGACGCTCTGATACGAGGACACGATGTCACAAAACGAGGGCCACACATCTGTGCGTCCAAACACACCAAACTCGACAACAACAGACCGTATGATGGATGATACGGTGGACGGCAAAGTCCCTGATCCACCGAACCCAAGCACGAAATCGAACTGGTCTCTGAGGCACGATGAGTATGCGGTTGATATGCGAAACGATACCACGCACTTTTGGACCAACTCTACGATCGAATCGAAGTGGTGCCTAACCCTGATCGCGGGGCCACAGCTCACAAGCATGAGGCCTCTCCGTCCTCCTCTGACCTTGGGGGTAAGGTCAGTCCAGGGCTTCTTCCCTCTCTTGGTGGTGATCTCGGTCTTGTCGCTCCTGGCAGCATGGGAGGCGTGTACCATGCTATTCAGGAAGTCGCTAAGGTACGCAGCCGTGATTTCGGCGATCGTGGTGTCTGTGCCCCCGTCGTGCGCCCCATGGTGTTGGAGCATTCCGCTGTACTTGTCGGAATGAGTGTTGACAAGGACAAAAGTGTTGGGCGGAAACCCGGCTTCGATGTTGCGTTGCATGAAGGTTGCACCTGGAACAAGTTTCCTGGCTTCTGACTGATGCACACCAGCTTCATGCACACCCGGGCGCATGTACAAGCTTTGGAAGAGCAGCTGCAAACCATGTTCAGCACAATGTTGAAGACGCATTGATTAGACGTACGTTCTTCCCATTATCCCTGTAATGACTGTCGAGATCATGCTTGACAGTCAAGCCTATGTAGTCGTTCATCGTAGACTCCAGGCTGAGGTGCACAACAGCCATGGGCCAGGTCATTTTCACCTTCTTCCTCATCGAAAATCCAAATATAGCGTATGGCAAGGGGGCGTTCTTGTTGGCTCCTGTCCTGCAGCAATTCGGGCAGAGGAACTCCTTCCCGTCCTCCACCGTGCCGAAATAAATGCAGCCGCTGCTGCGAGGAACGTACTGTTGGCATATAAACGCCCCGCACTCGACGCATTCGTGGTAGAATGGGGCTTGAATTTGGTCGCAGCAAAAGTGACAGTACTTGCCGACGTGTATGTCGTCAGATGAGGTTGTGCTGGATAGGTGGGAGATGTGTTTGTTGGACGCATCGGTGGATCTGGCCTTAGTACCGACGAGGCTGGGCGACACGATAGTGGGGGAGACACTGGCCACGTCGAAAGACCTGGCAGCAGTACCATGCTGAGGCACCATGGTGCCAATGTCGACCGTTCCTGGCCCTGCACGAGATAAACCTGTCACGTTGCCACCTACTGTAGATTTTCTGTTCCTATTTTTAGCAGGCATGTTGTGAAAAAATGGAAGAACGGAGGGAAAAGAAGGGTATTGCTGGTTGCGGTCAGCTATTATGCGGCCCTGCACCGTGATCGGGTAATTCCGATCACACATGTTCGGTCCGATCGCATCGTTCGTCACAGTGGATTTCCAGTGCCACCCACCAGCCATCAGCAAATTCACTATAGAATTATCTTGGATTATCACAAAGTCGCGATCGCATTACAATCATGTTATAGGCAGTTGCTTTCGCAAGACACCCCATTGCTCTTTGATTATAAGTCGATGACACAGGAACACATCTGGTACCATAACCCCTAATTGCATGCGATCGCACGTGTTCGGTCCGATCGCATTGTTCATCACAGTGGACGCCGCCTACCCGCCATCAGAAAATTCCCCATAACATTATCTTGGATTATCACAAAGTCGTGATCACATCATAAATCATTACAATCACTTACAATCGCTATCATCATGTTACAGGCAGTTACTTTTGCGAGACGCGTTACTCTTCGATGATAAGTTGATGGCACAGGAATAAATATGGTACCAGCTGTCAACCTTCGAAAACATTACAGGCGTTGTAAGCATTTCATCATTACTGTATATTGGACATCCGTGGTCGTTTGCAATGGTGATACATCCATTTCCCAAGTACGCCGATACATAGCCAGCTGGTGGGTGTGCGTCACGATACCCAGCCCGGTGAGGAGCGGGTGCCGATTCTGAACGAATGGAAGGTTCGCTCCCTGCAAGACTGGTTGTACAAAAGTCGCCAAGAGGCCCATAACGAAGCACCGCATTTTTTGACTCCAGACCCACTGTGCCCTGAAAAGGACGTTAGTAGACATGTTCAAACGACGGAGGGCTTTTTGAGGACACTTGCTCCTTGGGCATACAAAGCTAGAAACCATATATGTACCCAGAAAAGTATAAACTCAGTTTGAACGCGTGGTGGAGGCACGTTGGAAGCTTGGATTTTGCCATACAGACATGTAAATAATGTGGAGGAAGATACTTGGTCTACAGGAAAAACCTAGGCTGAGAACTCTCCAACTTGTTACAAAATGCGATGAAGATCTCCAGGAGGTTGATGTACCTGCCTTGCTCCTTCTCTTCTTTGTTCACCCAAGATATGAACTCCTGGAAGCTGTTCCAGCCGCCGTGTATGCCCAAAGTCCCCGCCAACACCATAGCTTCGCCTGAGTTCCAAAGACAGTGTACGGCTTTAAAGATGAAACCTGCAAAAGGACAAGATCCTCCTGTCCTGTAAGACACTGCGCTGTGGCATGATGGCTGCTCGTTGTTGTGTTTGTAGTTCTGTGGTAAGGCGCAATTGAAGCAGTAAGTATACCTTTCGAAGACGAAACTGTTCTTGAATTCGGAGTACGTGGAGTCATGGCCCTGTCGTCCCAAGGCGCATGGACCATGCTCTGGATGAGCTTGGGAGTGGACGGCAAAATGGACTGGGCAGCAATTCTGTAACTTCCTCATGAACCTGTCGAGGAGCGATGTGCGATTCAATCGACTTTGAATTCCTGCCATGACCCTGTCGCTCCTGGATGATGATGATGGCAAAGAGACAGGCAGTGATGAAGAAGGGGCTGGCGCCTTGGATGCCTTGGATGCCTTGGATGCTGGCGGTTGGGAATACTTCATGCTAGGTCAGTAATTTATCATAAGGACATAAAGGAACGACATTACCACAAGGCGAGCGCCCTGACCTTTGCTGGGAAGCTCCATGGGAAATCGATGACCCAGCGGTGCATGGGTGGCCTCCATGGCGTTGAGCGCGATCTCCATTTTAGGCGTTACTTTGGGAAACTTTCCGAACAATGCATCATCATCCAGCGAGGAAGATGGTATGGAGGATGACGTTTGCGAGGGTCGAGATGAACTGGGGACCGGAAATGTCGGAGCACGGGTTGATTGAGGACGGAGGAGTTGTGGGGACTCCTTAATTGCTTGCAAGGCCATACGTTGCATATCGCTCGCAGGATCGCAGACGTCGCACTGCACAACATCTGATCTGTCCTTGCATCGGTAGGCAAAACCTTTGCCATCCATGCACTTGATGGAGGTGTATCTGCGACAGTGATCGCTAAACAGGACGTCGTCCAGGCCTTTGATGCAGTGGTGGTCTTGGTCGCTCTGAAACGCGGACAGACTTGTTTTCTGAGTGAGGTAGAATGTATGCGCCTCGCGTCCATCGCGTCCCGAACGTCCAGACATCTGATTCACGACCAGAAGACCGTACTCAACCTCACTGATCACCACGAATCGCACGGAGCTTCGATCGACTCCCTGGGCAAAGGCGGTGGTACAAGTCATGATATTGGTCTCTCCGCGGTCCCACCTGGCGAGATTGTGCGTTTTCGTGTTTCCTCCGATGGTGGGAAGGTCGCTGTGAAAGACTGCACACCCCATGGCGCTACTGAAATTATCTGCTTCTTTGTTCGAGTTGAAAAATACCAGCATGCGATCCGATCCAGCCATCTTCAACTGCAGCGCGCATACGAGGGACTTCAGGGATGCATTGAAATGGTGCGGAAGAATGTTCAAGACGTGAAATCCTATCTCTGGGCGATCCGTGCAGGTGCGATAGATGAGGGCCTCCTCGGGCTGGATGGAAAAGCCTTTAAGATAAGCAGAAGTGCTGGATGGGGGGGAAGTCGCTGAGAGGAGGTTTATTTGCATCGGCCACTTGGAAAATTGCGCAGCAAGACGCGTCCATTGTTCTTTACGTTCGGGATGACACACCAGGAAGTCATGGTGTTCGTCAATAAATACTTTGGTAAAGGAACGTCCTTGGGGAGATGCCAGGAACCTGAATACAAGAGGGAATTGTGAGGTCATGATGAAGGTGATTCACATGACGACCACTTACTCCTGGAACGCCTTGGAAGAAGCGCTCTCTACCTGCACGAAAAGAATGTGAACGTCGGCAGGAACGTTCTTATCTTTGGTGAAGTTGTGCGCCCTGAGCCCCAATTGCAGGCATTTTTCTACTTGCTCCTCCAGGAGGACGACAAATGGGCAGATGACGATGCACCGCTGGCCAGGGATCGATAAGAGGCGCGGTCATCCACAGGGCGCTCTTGCCGCCTCCTGTCTTAAGGGTGATGAAGGTGTCCTTTTTAGCGGTCATGACGTTTATGATAGCCTTGCATTGAGCAGGAGACCTTTCTTTGGCAGCAGGGTCCTTGAACAACGTTCTAAACGCGTCTCGCACCCTCTGCGTCCATCTATCGTCCTCCTCTGGGGAAAAGTGCGGCAGGATCTCGATCTCTTCATCTTCATCCATACTCATCAGATCATCAGGTTGAGAAGAGGAAGCCTCCCGGGGGACCGCGCGGTCATCATCTTCATCGTCCTCAAGCAATTGATCCTCTGCTTGCGACGAGGAAGCCACCAGTACGACAGGTCGTTCATCGGTTTCTTCTTTGATACGCAAGTCGGCGGCATCAGGGTAAGAGGTTGCTAGCCTAATGCGTTTTGCGGACCGAACAAGTTCCTCCCTGGGATTCGAGCGGCTCGGATGAGTCTGGGTGAAGAGGACGTTTGTGATGGACCGCGACGGTGGGAGGAGCAGGAAGGCTGGAGGGCGAGAAGGAGGATTGAGCGGGCGACTTTGTTTTTTCATGGAGGCGAGCAGAAGATGAGGGCTGAGCGGGCAATCTGATTTTCTGACGGTCAGGAACGGCATAAGGGATGGGGCAGGACTGAGGGGGCAATACGGCGGGACGCTGGGCATAGAACTCATCCATGTCGATGCACTTTATGTCGGCGTCCTCGGTTTCGATGCAAGAGAGCGGGGTGGATTGGGGTGCTATAATTTCTTGGGGAGGAGGACCTACGCGGATGAAGACTTAGTTAATGCTGGTTCGGAGGGGAGAACATCGCCGGACACATACCTTGGGGCTCGACCGGCGCATGAAGCGCGGTACCGATGGCTAATTGTATTGCGGGAGCAGGAGCAGAGTTCTGAGTCGTTTTCCGTAGGGGTATCGAGGATGGAAGGCAGGACGTCCTGGGCGACGATATCACGAAGGAGCGGGACCAAGTTATCCTGGAGGTAAGTCTTTAATGCTGCGGCGGTGCTGGTCGAGATGGCCTCAGAAATGGCGGATATGTCGAGGGAAGAGGATCCACCGTGATTAGGGGATGATGCAGATGGCCTGTTCAAACCTTCTCTGTCGAATGGGTTGCTGGGGCTCACCAGGACCGAGGCCGCAGAAGAGCTGCCATTCCTCGGACAGCAAGCGATGCTTCTCCATGACGTTGTTGGTGAGTTGAGGGATGGCTCCGTGGAGGTTGCCATAATGGATGTGGTCGATTTGGGTGGAGTGGTCCGCGCTCTCGGCCAGCAGGTCATCAGCGAGAGAGAAAGCATGGTTGAGAGAGATGAATTCCCTAGCCATGGCTATGGCGCCATGTCTTGAAGTCGCGTACGCCCCAGGCAATGGATTGCTCTCGGTTACCTGCAAGAATATGGA